TTTCCTGCAGTAGGTGATGCTATAAGTGACTTTGAAGTAGAGGGCAGGACCTTCCTGCCTGGGACAGAAGATAGCATTTGTCTTTAAAATTTTTTTTCTCCATGAAATAAAATGGATTTGGAAAAAAGAGGGGAAACAGAAGAAAGTATTTGGAGGACACCAAATCTGTTGCTTTCAAGGACTAGGGTAGAGTTTACCCTTCTTTAAAAAACTTCATTGATATATGATTCACATACCATAAATTCATCCATTTGAAGTATAGAGGTCCACAGATTTTTCATATTCATGGTCGTGTGACCACCATTACCATTAGTGCTAGCCTGTTTCCTCACCCCCAAAAGAAATAGCCTTGACCCCAACTTGCTCCCACTAAGACTCTCCCAGCTCTGAATAATCACTAATCTTCTTTCTGCCTCTATAGATTTGCCCATTCTAGACATTTCAGACAGAATCAGACAATATGAGACCTTGTAATTCCTTCTTTCATTGAACATCACGTTTTCAATGTTCACCCATGTTTTCAAAGCGGCTATACCATGGTACATTCCCCCAGTGATGGATGGGTGTTATGATTTTCCCATATCCTCACCAGCACTTGTTATTGTTGCCATCTTAGTTGGTGTGAAAAGGCATTTTGTTGTGGTTTTTATTCACAATTTCCCAATGGCTAATGATATTGAGTATCTTTTCATGTGGTCAATTATGTATCTTTTTTGAGGAAATGGTCCCTCATTCCCATATCCCTGTACATTTTTACTTGAGTTATTTGTCTCTTATTATTGCGTTGTAAGAGTTACATATTGTAGCTACAGGTGACTTATCAAATATAAAATTTGCAGATACTTCTCATTCTGTGGGTCATTGTATTAGTTTGATAAGGCTTCTGTAACAAATTATCAGAGATTGGGTAACCTAAACAACAAAACTTATTTCTCACAGTTCTTCAGGTTGGAAGTCTGAGATAAAGCTTGACAGGTTTGGTGTCTCCTGAGCTCCCTCACCTCCCTGGTGTTTCTTTTTAGAAAAACATGAGTCATTGGATTAGAGAGCCACCCTACATGTCTCAGTTTAACATAAAAACCTTTAAATATTGGAAGGATTTATGTCTCCAAATGGTCACATTCTGTGATACTGGGAGTTGGGGATCAAACATATAGATTTGGGGGAAACAAAATTCAGTCCATCTTTTTACTTTCCTGTTGTTCTTTGAAGCACAAAAATTTTAATAATAATAAAATTGAAATGTTTTGCTTTGTTGCTTTTGCTTAAATATTACTTAAGCATAAATTCTGAAGTTAAAAAGGCCTCCACCTTTTCTATATGGTACGAAGTAGAGGTTCATCTTCATTCTTTTTGCATGTGGATATCCAGTTGTTCCAGCACCATTTGTTGAAAAGATTATTCTTTCTCCATTAAATTGCCTTGACACATTTGCATTAATGTGCCTTAGCACTTTTGTTGAGAATCCATTGACTTTAAATGTAAGGATATATGTCTGGATTTGTGGTTTCATTAGTTTGATTGACATATTAATCTTCACACCCTTACCACATTATCTTGGTTATTTACTATTGTTTTGTAGTAAGTTTGAAATCAGGAAATGTGAGTTCTCTAATTTTTCTGGATACATATACTTTACTTTTTGGTGTCAAACACTATGAGAGATATGAATGAACAGGCTTGGGAGGTTTCTGCTGGAAAGGACCACACTGGGTGCTGGACTCCAATGATGTATGTTATGGCTTGGCAAAAAGTTTGTCTTTATTTTGCTCATGTCCAGAGATTTTTCCTGAGACTAAGAAAAGGGCAGTGGAGTAATTAATTGGCAGAAAAAATTTCAAGGCAGTCAAATGTTGAGCCTGTGGCATGGCTATTATTAGGGGTTATTGTTGGGGCCAGATTTATGTTGTGAATCAAGAGAAAAGAACCCAGCAGGATGATTTAAAGCATCATGAGTTCAGCCAGAAAGGAAACTCCAATAAAGCTGTGGACTGCAAAGATAAAGCTGAGGAAATCTCAATTGTTCAGAAGGAAAAAAGGAACAGAAAAAATGGCCTGAAGGCATCACAAAAAACAGCAAGTCTCAAACCTTTGCAGCCTCAAAACTGCAAAAGCAAAAGACTTTGCTTTGAGGCAAAAGCCACATAGCACCATGTTCTTAGCACAGAAAACTTGTTCTTTAGAATTGGGTTCAGAGTCCCTAGCAATGCAGGTTACTCAACAACCCCTACAGCCAGGAGAGAGGGAAGCCTGGCTACTGCTCCAATGGGCAGCAGACCTTGGCATCATCCATGTGGTGCTAGTTTTAGGTACATACAAAATGCAAGAATTCTGAGGTTAAAGAAGCTTCCACCTTCAAGCAGGCAGTCATGAGTTCGATCCCTGGTACCGATAAAAAGGAAAAAGGCCAAAAAAAAAAAAAAAAAAAGGTTCCACCTTGATTTCAGAAGAGGAGGCCAGGCAGTGTGTCCCTGAGAGGGCAGTGTGTGAAGCTGTGAGTGTGAAGCCAAATGTGCAGTAGAGACCCCAGAAGTTTGGAAAAGCCAGGAGCATGGATCATTTAAGGATGGCCTGCAAGGAGAGTGCAAAGCCAGCCCAAGAGACAAGCCATGGGAGCTACAACTACAAGTGCCACGGGGCGGGGTGGGGGGTGTTGTGTGTGGGGGTGTCACTCGCATCTTTTAGAATTCAAAACCAGATTGCTTTGGATGCTGAGCATGAAACTCCAGGACTTAATGGTTTTTGTTTTGTTTGTTTGTTTTTGGTACCAGGGATTGAACTTACGACCTTGTGCTTGCCAGTGGACTTGCTTTATATCCTGTTTGTGACATTTGTAATAAAAATATTTATCTTATGCCATTGTGTGTTGGAAGACTTTAACTTTGTTTTTATTTGTACAAGGATTTACAGCTAAGAGTTTGCCTTCTTATCTAGGAGGAGATTTGGGACTTGAACTTTTCAGCAATGCTGAAACTGTTAGGTCTTTGGCAATTCTTGCAGATGGACTAAATGTCTTTTGATTAGAGGGATGTGCATGGGGCTTTCGGGGGCCAAGGTCAAAATGTTTCTAATGTAATATCATATTGACTTAATGCTGGTTCTTAAGGATTGTTAAATTATATTATAATGTTCAAGTTGCAAAATGTTAGAATAAGAATGTCTGGTACTGAAAACCTGTTAAACGTGTTTGGTTGCCAAGTTGACAAGAGGTGGATTGTTATAGTTGATATACCATGTCAATTTGAGAAGCTTAGAAGTTTAACTGAGAGATTCATCAAGGAGCCAGGAGGCTTGCTTTGTAAATATCCTCATCCTGTGCAAGAGGAACCACAGAGATTTTGTGAGTGCTACATCTGCTCTGGGGGGAATGAGGGAGAGATGGCCTGCATGTACTATAAAAGAAGAAAAGAGGCTTGTTCTTCCCCACTTTTGTCCTGGGTGCTGCCTTGAAGTGTTGCAATGCCATCCTGCCTTGGAACCAACTGATTATGGACTGAAACCTCTATAGTGAGCTAAATAAATCTTTCCTTCCTTAATTTTGAGTGTTTGGTATTTTGGTCCCAGCAAGGAGAGAAAAGTAACTAAGACAACTTCATTTCAGGAACACAGGTTCCTAGTTCTACACATGCCTTAGAAAGATGGATTACCATCCTCTCAGCCCACAGCTCTTCGTTATAAATCAATGGACACATTCTGCAGAGAACAATGGTACCCTTGGGTTATTTTAAACATCACTTAAAGTCTTCCTCACCTGCTCTGCTCTCTAATTGCTCCTACTGAAACTGTGTGTCACAACTGGATTATTAATGAACTGAGAGAGAGCCAGGGGGCTAATGAAGTGGGATATCAGAGGACTTGACTAGGGCTCCAGGGACCTGGAATAAGCCCAACTCACAGGTTTTTGCACTCCAAGAAAAGTTAGTGAGTTTCATTAGCAAATAAGAAATCACTAAACTCAGGTAGCACTTTGGCTTCAACAGAATATTGGCTGTAAGGACCCAAGAGTTCTTCAAACTAGCGTTACATGAATTGAATTAACTGTACACTGTCTTAAAATTTCCCAAACTTAAAATTTGTCTGACCCTTTCCCCCTGCCTGGGTTTCTAATCTGTGACTGACAAAACTCAGGAAACAAAGCCCTTTGTGAAGAAGAGAACTCTATTGTTCTAAGGTCAGTACTCAGCAAGTGTGGATTCCAGAGAATGTTTTGGGACTCCCCCCCCCCCAACCCTTTTGTTTATTAACTTTCTCTGCTCTTCCTGGTAGGAGGAGGGGTTGGTTCTCAACAGCAATTTAAAGACAGTGAAAACTATTGTGTAAAAAAAAAAAAATGCATGCTGTACGGGACCTTCTGCCCCAGAACTGTCTAGGATTGGATGATAAAACCAACTCCTATGCCCTGCGTTGTGTTTTTAGCATGAAATTTCAGGGAAGCCGGCAGGTCTGGATCACACATATCTCAAACCACGGCAGACGTCAGCAGAGGTACAACCACTTCCTTCCTTCTTCTACTTAGCTCCTTTCTTTCCAGAAAGAGGAAATGAAACGACTCCACGGCGCAGGTTGGGGCCCACATGTCGTGTTATCTTGTGTGACTCTTGACTGTGAAATCTACCCTATTCCAGGGCCAGGACTGGTCAGGTCTCTGGACATCCTGGGAAGCCTTCAGACTCAGGCTTCAAGTTCCTTCAAGGTAAGAGACTTGACTTTCTGGCCCTAGCACTAGTCTATGTGACCATGGGCAGGTTACTGCTCCTTTCTGGGCCTCATGATGCCCATCTGTCAAATGGGAGCGAGAATACCATCATAGGCTCTCTGCTTTCCAAAGTGGGGGGTGAGGAAGCGCTCAAAAATCAGTTCTTCAGAAGGCTGGCTGCAACCCGGCCCCTTTCACTTTTCTGTAGCTCAAAGTCAGGTCCCCACCCCTAGAGCGCTGGGACCCAGTCCACCCTCCCTGGCCCGGCAGCCGGATGGGGTTGTGTGTGCCCACCCCTTTCCTGAGACTCAGGCCCCGCCTTGGGGGAGGAGCCGAGAGCAGAGCCCAGGCTCGCGGCCGAGAAGAGCTGGCTCTGTATCCTCGCGAGCTGCTGCAGCTTGGGGTCCTACGGACCGAGCCAGGGCCGGGAGCCGCCCGGGGCAGAGCCCCGGAGAGCGGTGAGTTCCTCGCGGCGCCACCTCCTCCCCTGCGCTCTGCAGCTGCATCGGGCGGGGACGAGGATCGGGCAGGGAGGTGATGCTCTTAGCCTCTTATAAACTGGCTGGGGGATGAGGGGCCCTTTGGCCAAGGGCGGGTGGCTTAGGATAATTTGAGGGTTGGGTGCTCTGGAAAGGGGAGTATCAGCGCGCAGGGCTGGGCAGTTGGGCCCCCATGTGGGCGTTCTCCCGCGTCTCGCGCTCCCTTAGGGAGGCTGAGGTAGGGGGTGCGTCGGCAGGTTGTTGGCTTGGGCTATCTTGGCGCTGTCTCAGGCTGGGCGGGGGTCCTTCGCTGGTTCTGGACTCGGGCCGCTGTCTGCCGAGGTGGCAGCGCCGAGCGACCCGAGCCTCAGACCAAACACCACGGCGCCCAGTGTAGGGGCCAGGCATGGGCGCCGCCCCCTCGCGTGGCGCCGCTTGGTCCCCGCAGGGCGCACGGGGCGCTCTTGCCCAGGCGGGAAAGGTCCTCAGGGCAGGCGTCCTTGCTAGCAGATCTGACCGCCGCAGGATCCCAACTAACCGTGCCACCAGCCTGGAGACACCGCGTGTGGAAGCCTCCAGAGCGCCGTGCGCCGGGCCTCTCCCCAGGGCCGCCGTGCGCGGGCTGCTGGGTCCCCCGCGCCAGGAGCGCTCCTCTCCTCTCCTAGCTAGTCCCGCGCATCCGCTCCGGCAGGGAGGAGCGCCCCCGAGCGCTTAGGATGGGTTGAAACCGCGCAGCCTTCTTCAGAGAGATCGTGCAGTGGGGTCTCCCCCAAGGTCACCCGGAGTGCCAGGATCGCTCCTGGTGGCGAGCAGCCAAGGGGACATCCTCACCATCCTCCCCCTTTCCTGATGCAGACTCTTCCTCTGCTCTCCCTACTCGGCTTGGCCTCCAGCTTCACTGGAGATGCGGATAATGCAGCCACCAGCCCGAAAGAATAATCGAACCTAAGCAAGCTGTGAATCTGGCGGTCCCAGGAGCCCCTCGGCGCGCCGCCGCCACGCGCCAGGCCTGGGACCCTGTGCTTCCTGGCACCGCGGAGCGGAGGAAGAGAGATGCGGCTGCATAAGCGCTTCTCAGAATTGAAAGCCGAGCCGCTTGTGCGCCCATGTGATTACATTCCACATAATGGGCCCCTGTTCTTGCTGTTAGAGGCGCCCACTAGCTAGCTCCCCGCGGCCTGGAGCGCCAGGTGCCGCCTCTGAATCGCCCTCTGTGGAGGACCGGGGCCCCGAGGTACCAGGCTCCCTCTCTCGTGGAGCTCTCACTGGGAGGGGCCTGCAGTGTGCGGCCTGGGCCCGCAAGGGTCCTCTTTGTGTACCCTGCTTGTTTCCTATGACTGGTGAAGCCCCGGGGAAAACCCCTTCCAGGCTGGTAACAAAGCTTCTCCACTGATCCAGGATCTTACTATTTGCTGCGGGCAAGACGCTTGGCCTCCCTAGCCTCAGTTGTCTCTAAAATAGCGGGCATGGCTGGCTGTGGGGTGGTGAGCAAGGGGCCGCATGCCAGGGAGCATGGGAGGGAGAGCGAGGTGTGTCTCTTAGACAGGTGCGGGAATGGAGCCCTGGTGGGCGGTTCTGTGGGGCTGGGGGAGTTTCCACCTCTTCCTCCCTCACTCTGTCACAAAGCGCCAGCTTGCAGGAGGCGGTGAGGGGCCGTGAGTCCTTCCAGCGTGCTGCCTGCTCACAGGGCCTTTCCCATACCACCCCCCACACACCTGTCACCCTGATACCATGTTCTCTGCCCCAGTCCCTATGATAACGAAGGCAAGGTGTCAACCAGATCGCTGGAACCTTCAAGTCTGAGCTTTCCTGTCCTCTGCTGTCTACCCAACAGCGCCCCCCTCCCAGCTTTCTGACTCCAGCTCTTCCCAGCCCATGGAATGCCCTTTAGGAAGCCCACCTGACCCTTCCTTCCCTTCTTTCAGTTCCCTCCTGCTGTGACATGCGGTTTGTGCCTGCGGGTGGGGGTTTCAGGTGCCAGAGCCCCGTGCTTCCTGTTGCTTCCCTGACCTGGGAAGTATGTAGTAGGCAAAGTGCATGTCCGGTGCCCACTCAGACTTTGTTCTGTCTGCTAATCTAGCTAGAGTAGAGGTTAAATTCTAATCTGGCTGTTAAGTCTTTAGAAGCTGAAGGCAAGGAGATAGCTTTTCCTAAGACTAGCACCTTTCTGCAGAGTTCACTGGCCCCTTGGGAAACTTAGCCAGTGCTCTTATCTAAATCAGTGCAGGGCCAGGGCCAAACACTGACCAGCAGAGGCTGGCTGCCTGCTTTAGTGGATTTGGAGGCACTGATTTGGGTTCAACTAGTGGGCTTGAACTCTCACCCTGGCCCCTGTCCCAACCTAGCCACCCCAACTGCCCACCTCCAGGACACCCGTGGCATGTGCTGGTCCCAACAGACCCCAGCCCAGACTGGGACACCTTTCTTTGTCCTGTCATTCCTTAGATTTGATAAGCCTGTGCCTTACAGAAAGCTGCAAATATAAAGAGCATGGGAGCCGGCAACCCTAGCTGAAATTACAGCTCTAAACCTAAACGTTCAAGAACCCTATGTGATGATTTTATTTTCTGGAGGCCCAGTTTTCCCGTCTGTAAAATGAGAATCATGGTAATGCTTGCTTCATGGTGTTGTGAAGGTTGTGTGAGACCATAACAAGGAGAACATGTTTAGTAGATGACCTGGTGCAGGGAGGAATTGCAGGAAGTGCTTGTTGTCCCCATCATTGTCACTTACTCCTTTGTGTTGGGCTTTTAAAGGTCCCACCTTCTCTGGTTCAGGGGCTTGGGCTGTGTCTCTTCTGCCTCCTGCTACCTAGACAAGGGAAGCCTCTCTGTGCCTCCTGGAGATGGGGGCTCTCCTGGGAATTTGAGTCTAGCATGACCCTGTCCCCAGGGAGTCTGCAAGCATTCACTTAGCCTTTCTCAGCTGGCTGCCATTTTGCAGGGCTCATTGATTTCTTCAGCATAGACTTTCTGTCCATTGCAGACTTTCTGTTGAGCAAGAGGTTTCCAGATGATTAAGAAAGCAGAGAGGGGGCCTGGAGATAGACAGTGAGGCGCCATGGGATCAAGACTTCCATAGCAAGCTGTAGGAACATGGGACCACACGCTCACCCAGGTGTGGATTTTCAAGCTGCCATCTTGTCTCTGAATGGTGATGACTCCTTACCTCTCACGTACACAGGCGACCTACCCAGGGAGTGAGGTGAGGAGAAAAGAGATACTGTGGGTGAAAACTGAGCTCAGGGCCTTGTAGAGATGAGTAAGTGATTGTGGATATTAGTTGCTATTATTATTAGTGTGTTGTTACCAATAATCTATGGGCAAACTTGAGCTCGTCAGAGATAGTTTCCTAGGTGGTAAGTCATGGAGCAGTGTGCGCCCTTGAAGAGACACATATGCAAAGCATATAGGCTTGGAAGCACTCGGTGTCTGGCTGGAGCCAGCAGAGTGTGATAGAGGCAGGAGCAAGGTTGGGGAGGAGGCAAAGGCCATTCTGCAGGGCCCTGACCTGAGAGATCAGGTGCTCACTGACCCAAAACAGACACCCGATGGCTTCCTCCAGTGGTAGCTCTCTGGAGAGAGCTGTTAGATTGTAGTACTCAATAAGAGCCCAGGTTGTTGCCTGGGAGGAGAGGCTGGCCTGTGCTTACCTGCCCGTGTGTTCACCATTCCTTCCTCTTCGCTCTAGCTTGCTGAGATGTGTCTCCTACCTCTGCACTGCTTCGGTCTTCCTGGGACTCAGTTGTCATGTGAAGGGAGAGGGATGGGCAGAACAAGTGGACTGAATTGATTCTCTTGTTGGTCATGATATTGTGTGTGCCACATACCTCTGTGGATGCTGATTCTTGGTCTTTACTGTGTTTCTATTGAGTCCTTGTTTCAATCCAGTGAAGTGGATACACTCACTTTCATTGGGAGTGGGAGATTGGGAAACTGAGGCACAGAGGGGGAGACAATTTGCTAAAGGCCATGCTGCGCACATGTGACTCATATCTGGGGAGTCTCCAAAGTTGCCGTACCTGCCCTGCACCCCTCCTTCATGCTTTCTGTAAACAGCGAAAGCTCACTGCAAAATGTCTGGCTTCTCTCCCTCTGGATCCTTGAGTGCTGGTTAGTAGGTACAATGGAGATGGATCACAGTGCGGTGTGCTGTGGGTACCTGTACTGGTTTGGGGAGTGCCTGTGTGGGAGGAGGTGTTCTCAGATCTCTCCGAATCCAGATTGGCATTCTGCAGCCCACTGATGTCCCACAAATGTGCCTTTGATGCAGGCAGTTTGTCGCTTGATTGATGTGGCAGGTGGTGGCCAGGCCCCATGGTGGCCCCAAGGAGGAATGAATCTTTTAGGATAACTGCTTGGAACATCATATGATGACAGACCCTTCCTGTCCCGGAAGTATCCAAACAGAGGCTCACGTTTCCTTTTTCATCAGGGCAGAGTTTAGGCCAGGATTCAAATCCTGGCTCTACTTTCCACTAGTTCCTGGGCCTTGAACAGTGTTTTCATTTCCACCTTTCATCTGCAAATACAGACTATATATGTAATTATGTAACATACACACATATATAATTTGGAGTTGCTGTAAGGATTTATAATCCTATGTAAAATGCCTGGCTTCCAAATTGTAAAGATAATAGTGATGTAAGGTCCACCAAATTTTCCTCCAAAATACTTATAATAATTGTGCTGATATGACTATATTATTATGGTGACCCATTATTCTTTCAGTCTCCTCTTCTAGGCCAGTAGTTCTCAACCCAAAGTCACAACCTGGGCAGGAGAGCAGAGGAGGAGGGGAGCTCCTGGCATGTAGTGCATAGAGATCTGAGATACTGCTAAATATTTTGTAACGTACAACCCAGCCCTCCACAATTAAAAAAATGATCTGATCCAAGTGTTAATTATGCCAGGGTTGAAGATGACTACAGTGGACTGCAAGTTCCATAAGGTCAGCGATCACGTCTAATTCATTCATCT